TTTTTCTTTTCCTCTTTCTTTCTCTCTCTCTCTCTCTCTTTCTTTCTTTCTTTCTTCCACATCCATATAGAAACACACACCTTGGGTATTGTGTCACCAACCAACCCTACTCTTAAGCTGCAGAACCTGTGGGTCAAACGTTTCTTACCAAACACCACAAGCATTATAATGGCTTGCTAAAATATCTGCAGATCCATTTTCTGATGATGGCAGAAGGAACTTGGCTGGCCTGGCTTACTCCTGAGTAAACGCATCTGTACAGATTTCGTGTACCTAAGCAACAAGCCGAGAAAAGCAGGAATGGTGACGAGGCTGGGCCTGAAGATCTTCGATGCGCTTGGCTTCCCCTAAACTTCCATAAACTTTTCCATCCATGCTACAGATGCCTGAAGGGAAGAAGCATTTCTATCTGTGTCTTTATTCTAAAGGGCCATCCTTGAAAAGGAGAAATATTTTGCCTTTGACTTCCTTTCAGAAACCGGCAACTGATTAGGAGCCAATGGAAAATCCCTGTAGACACGGACCCCTTCTTTTAATTCTTTAGGTAATGCACCGTCCCTTGTTTTGTGAGCAAATATGCTTTGAACAAAATATAGAAGCATTTTGGTCTCTGTTCTCCAGTTTCCTTGTGTTTCTCCTTGAGCTGGTGGTGCAGTTTCGGTTAATTGAGCTTGGGGTTTTTTTTTTCCCTCCACCCTCCCCATGTCTATTTCCTTTTGTGCTGTGCCATTTTAATCTGCCCCTTTACTCTTTAGTGTCTAAAAACCATTCCAGAACCATACAGGGGATCTACAGCTACGGCTGACCTATAGCTCCGTTGCTACACTTTCGAAATAGCTCAGATTAGTCCCCTTCACCCAAATTCCTGTTTGGAAATTGCTAAACAGGTCTGTTTCCAAACCTCAGCTTGGTTAAGAAGTTTATTAGGCCAGGTGAGGGTCAGAAAAACACGCCCGCGTTGAAGATCTCAGGATCTGATCCCTCGGTGGGTCGTTGCAAAAAAAGGTTTGGCGAGGGGGAAAGCACAGAGCAGATCCTCACAACTGGCATGAGCTGACATTTCTGGAAAGAGCATGGGCAGGAATCGCGGGCATCTAGCAGCCACCGGGATTCCTCTTACGAGATGCGGGTGATTTCATCTTCTTTTGACTGGAGCCAAACCTTTCAGAGCCCGGGGCATTCTTATTATCATCATCAGAGATGAGCAGATCATCTCCAACACAGATCTCTATTGACTGGATGGAAATCCATTGGACGATTGATTTCCATTTCTCTGGCAATGGCGCCTGGAGGCGCTTTGCCACTCGACTGAGGTCATGGGGGAACGAACCCTCAATGCCCTTGTGCAAAAGTTGCAGGAATTTTATCTCCCCCCCCCCCTTTTCAGAGAGTCCCGAGGATTCCTTTAGGGAGGATAAAAAACAAGGAGAAGCTGGTTGGATAAATTGATGTTAATTTTTATTTACTGTATTTACACAGCTGCCCGTCTCAGACCAAATGACTCTGGGTGGGGTATAACCATTAAAAAGAATAAATGCATACATAAAAACAATTCCAAATGAAAAACAGGGTTATTAAG